TGTTGTCGGACGTCCACTGACTAACGTAGAGCGTTCACACAGGATCTGCTGCTCATATGATGTCCTGAGGAACAGAAACACAAGCACTGGACTCAGATCTCTAGATACCACATCACTCCTCCGCTGCTCGGATACAAGTCCGGGCTGCGGTGGTTTGTTGATACGATACATGTCGTCTTCTTCTGTTTGCTTTAATCGAGAGTACGTAATTATGCATACGGCCCTGGTCATGGCCATTTCCACTGATCATAATTCCATTGTTGAGGTCGACTAGAATAGATTTACATTGTTCAATGTTCCAAACTCACATTGGTTTCTCAAACAGCATCTCTGTATAGTATGTGTATTCACTCTCTGTCCTACGCCTTGTTGGAGCTCCTGCCCCCCCCCTCCCTGTGAGCCAACTGTGCTCTGATTGGTCAGCTCGCCCACTCTGTTCTGATGAGTCTACCACCGTTACAGCGGAACATCACAGATTATGTTTTAATGGCGTTTGTTAGCAACCAGAAAATGACCCCAGTAATGACGAACAGATGAGAATGCTGCGTGGGGTCTGGGTGCCGTGTTGGCGGGACGTTGCTGCGAGGAGCGGACAGTGTGAGCTGGCTTACTGGTGTGGTTTCCTGGTTGCTGCGTGGGGTCGGCGAGACACAGCGAAACCCAGCCCAAGCACACACACACACACCCGCATCCTGGCTGTGAGTCTGTGGGTGTGCTCAGACACACAGACTCACAGCCTCCCACCGTCTCAGGCTGAGAAATCCGTGAAGCTGCAGCTGAGAAAAGGTTGTGTGTGTGTGTGTGTGTGTGTGTGTGTGTGTGTGTGTGTGTGTGTGTGAGGAAGTCAGCGGATTGGTCCATTTGTAACGTAACGGTTCCGCGGACGTAACGTAACGGCTCCGTGGATTGGTCTATTTGGGTATGGTTACGTCACCATACCCAGGAAGAGAAAAAGAGAAATGTCCAACGAGGCGTTCTGGGGCAGCACAGACAGGTCTTCTCTGTGTTAGAGCTTTACTCGCTACAGGGTGTACTTTGAGGGTTTGTGACTCTGCAGACCGTTTACATGCAGAACAACCTTCAAAACAACAAGGGGACGGGTGATAACCGGAAAAGCAGGACATGGGACCTTTAAGAAACAGCATCAAAAGCTCAGTGTGATGGAGGTACTGTATTTTGCAAATAAATCCACCATTTTGACAAATGCTGTATTCTGCTGTTGTAACACATTGTACAACGTGCTATGTATTTGATATGGTCATGCCAATTAAAAGCATTACAAACTCACCTGTTCACCATGGCCTTTGACCCCTAACCCTTCACAGCCCCCCTGCTTCCACTCCTACTAAAGTAAATGTGTTTACTTTATTATTTGCCCCTTCTGATTGTTTGTTTGTTCCCCATGTAAAGCGGCCTTGGGTCCCTTGAAAGGCGCAAAACAAATGTCATCTATTATTATTATTATTAAAGCTCCATTGAATTTGATATTCGCTCACCCTCGCTCTCAACCCCAGGACGAGCTGCGCCGTCTGCTTGAAGCTGATGAGGTCGGGGACAGTTTGCGTCACCATGGTAACAAACTCCTCCACTTTCGCGTACTGCTTGACGTTTCTCTGCCGGATGACCTGCCAGATGTACGAGTAGGTGAGCTGCAGGGGGGAGGCCATGAGGCGGAGGGAGGAGAGGGGGAGGGCACCTGTGAACAGAAGAAGAGGGAGTTAGTCAAAGTCAACTTTATTGTCAATCTTTCAGTTTGTGAGAAGAGTAGAACGAAGCGGTATAAAAACAGTTTTATCCCAGCAGATATTGCACAACTTATCAAATCATAAGAGTGTCACACAGATGCCTATTTATTTAATTATGAATTTTGAATGCCCATGTTTGTACTTGTGTTTTTCTTTTCAAATGTTTTTTAATATTTTGAGAATTGACAGAGCAGGGTCTACTTGTATTAGTTCTTTTATTAGAGATGTGTCTGTTGTCTGTGTTTGTTTTTAGTGGGTTTTTATCTGCAAACTAAATCTACCTACGGGTACAAATAAAGAACCTGAACCTTGTGTGTAGTGTACAGACAGAGATCGAAATACCGTTTCCCACAATCCCAAATACAAAAAATACAAATATATGTATGCAAATATGTATATACCTATATATACACAATCAAAGACACATATGCACACATTAAGACCTAAATAAAAGCACAACAATCAATATATACAAAAATAAAAGTTAGAAAGATTTCTGTCAGAAAAATAGGAAGCCAGTTTCCTTTGTTTTGGTCTATTGACAGAGAAGTAATCGCCAGCTCTATCGATAAATAAAGTATCTTAACTATTCATTCATGATTGACAGGAAAGGCTGTTTTCAGCTTCTCAAATATAGCATATTTTCTCAGTTCCTATTAAACTGGATATCTTCTGGGTTTGGACGGACAAAAGCAGACAACTGAAGACACCATTTTGGATTTTGAGAAATTAGGATAGACATGCTAAAGAATTATCCCAAAATGATCTGCATGTTAATCAATGAAAAGGAATGATAGCTATTATAATACATATCAAAATGATAATAGGGCTTCCACTTGGAGCAGGGGACGCCCGTTGCGGACAGGCAACAGCTTGGGGCCCCGGACCAGAAGGGGGCCCCCAAAGAACGTAGATTAAGAAGGCCCACACAGGGCCGTATCCAGGATTTCCTAAATACCGAGCTCCAAACAAGCTAGGGGGGTTCGGGGGTATACCCTCCCGAGATTTCTGGGATGTTCATGATCTAGTTAGGTGCTTTTTAAGTCCTGTGGGGGGTCACACATTGGATAATATATCGATTTCAAACCATGTCAGTGGGCTGTAGCATCAATTATTTTGAATCAGTTGAATTGTTTACTATGAATGATCTGGACATGCGGAAGAGGCTAAAATGATCACACAACATTGTCAACATTCATTTTCCATGTCTCTCTCCTTTCCATAACCTGCAGACCTCTCTTCCATCGTCTTGAGTCTCTCTGTCTTCTTCCTGTTCATTAACTCTCTCTGTCCTCTACTCTTTCTGTTTGTTCAACCTCTCCCTCGTTGTTCACTTGTCGCTCCTGCCATTGAATTAAAAGCAATTCAGAAAGTTAGTTAGTTCATTTCACTTGTTGTTGCATTATTTTTTTAATCTGTTTTGTTTGATTCTCAAAAGAGAACAAAGATGTAAGCAAATTGTGTTTTATACAATTGTACTGCAATAGATGTATGTTGTTTAAAAATGATGCATATTGTCTATATTGTAAATGAAGACTAAGTTATAGATAAATAGATAGATGGATGGATGGATAGATAGATGAATAGATAGATGCTGGATGGATGAATAATAGATGGATGAATGAATAGATGATGCTTGCTGATGATGAATAGATAGATGGATAGATAGAATGATGATGATGGAATAGATATGGGGTTATTAAGCCAGAATGTTTGGCTAGGGCCCCCCACAGACTCTAATAATCGGCACTGAATTGGAGCAAAGGGTTGCATACACACCTGCAATGTTTTTAAAGCTGTGAACGTTGAGCCCTGTTTTAAAATGATAGTACTTACGGTTTTACTGAAGTTTAACTAACTTATTTGCCCTTCAGTAACAAGTATATCCACCGTCTATAAATTATAATAACATAACAACGTTTGCAACTAAGAAAATGTCATTTTGAGGTACCAATGTTTGCTTCTTTGTACTTCTACTCCACTACAATTCAGAGGTAAATACCTCACTCCACTACATGTATTTAACACCTTTAGTTACTTCACAGATCTGGATGAATGATGTGAAATATAATCAAGTGTTGAATCAGACTTTAGTTCCACCTGGAGTAAATCCACAAGCTACCCTGCAGTATACAAAGTCATTCAAACTAGCTGCACCTTTACCAGCTTTGAGAACACTTTCATGATCAATCATTATAAAACATATCATATATATTATTCTGAAATGGACCAATCTGCACAATGACTACTTTTACTGTCGCTACTTTCACTATATTTTGATGCTAATACTTTTCTACTTTTACTTGAGGAACATTTTGAATGCAGGATTTTTACTTGTAACACAGTTTTCCTACACTCTGGTACTTCTACTTTTACTCAAGTACAAGATCTGAGTACCGGGTTACAGTAAACCACAGGAGGTGCAGGAGGAACCTGTAGGGGGCGCTGCAGAGCTGACACATGATGAATGCAGATAAGCTGCAGATGGGTTGGTTTAGGATGAAACTAAGCGGGTACGTTTGCGTGTACGTACAGTCGGGAAGAGAATGAGCGCCAAAGTGCAACCTAGTTAGATTCAAACTCAAACTAGTCTGATTAGTGTTTAGCGGGATTCATCCTGGTTGTTGTTAGCTTAGCTTAACACGACGCATCCGGAGCAGAGGACGATTTTATTTGAAATCCAGCGGCATGGACCATCCCTGCTTTATCTTGTATTATTAAACAGCTGCAGAATAACCTTAGAAAACTCTGCAACACGTAACAATCAGAAGCGAAAAGCCAGTTCTCCGCAACACGTGGTTTTCTTTGCGTCTTATTTTCTAACCGTTGTTCTCTTAGCTACAGTTAGCTTGGTAGCTTAGCAACCTACCTGTGGTATCGGACCGTTTCTCCATTCTGTGCCCGCGTGGGTTCCCCTACTTCATGAGAATGTGCAACGACTACACAGATACACTCACGGTGTTATTGTTTTAGCCCAAATATAATGTTTAAAAGTCATTAAATGCCTTTCTTCCGACAGTCAAGCCAGGAAGAATAATGGCGGCCGCTGGGTAGCAGCTTTCCAAAACAAAAGTCCGAGTGTTTCCGGCGGAAACGAGTGTAAAAAATAAAAGCACGGTGAATTTGCAAAGAAGGAGCAAGTGGAAGAGCGATTTGTCAAATAAATGATCATCAAACTTGTATAATGAACTGTATTTTGATGTTATAATGTGTTCTTACTAAGAAAAATAATAACAGCAAAAAAAAAGTATATCTTAACTTATAATAGTTTCTTTATATACTTTTTTTTTTTTTTTTAAACGTTTTTAACTGTTTATGTATGCACCGTGTACAGTTGGCAATACAATTGTTCCTGATTTCTGATTTAATATTTTGTATATTGTAAATCCTGCACATTTCTGCTCCACACTACATCTTGTCTGGCAGTGGCTCAATCAGTAGGGGCTTGGACTGTGAGCCGTAGGGTCGCCGGTTCAAGTCCCCGACCAGAGTGTATGGAGTGTGGACTGCTACTTGGAGAGGTCCCAGTTCACCTCCTGCCCTGGTGCCCTTGAGCAAGGCACTGGACACCCCCCGACTCCCATTGCTCCCCAGGCGCTGTACAATAGCTGCCCACTGCTCCTAGTATAGGTTAAAAGCAGAGAACAAATGTCACTGTGTGTGCTGTGTGCTCTGCATGTGTGACCATTAAAGAGGGGTTCATCCCTCCGATTCTATCTTTTAAAATCTGCACATTTCTCCACTTTCAATATAGTATATAGTGTTTGTCATATTGTATTATATTTGACTGTACTCAGTTTATGACATAATTATATGTTGTGTAAATATTGTCTTCATTTTGGATGTTTTACAATAGTCTTAACATTGTTTTTTAAAATAGCTTTATACTAGTACTGTTTTTATTAGATTTAGATTTATTAGATTGTTTGCTACATATCCTTCTTTCTGTGTATTCGTATGCACCACCAAAGCAAATACCTTGTATGTGTAACTTGCTAATAAAACCGTATAGTTAAAAGACATTACATGACGCTTTTATCCAAAGCGACTTACATACTCAATACTGTGGACAATCGCCACAGGAGCAATTTGGGGTGAAGTGTCTTGCCCAGGGACACAACGACATGGTTTGAACCTATTACCCCCTGATCCCCCTGATCCGAACACCAACGCACTAGTCCACTGCGCCACACGCCTCCTGGCAATACGACAATATCCATCATTGCTCATGTTGCATAACAAACATACCTGCGGTTTAATTATTACAAATTGAATCACCAACACATTTTATTGATGCTATTGTCATTTGTGCAATCAACAACTATGGCAATAAAAAAATGCATCATTATTTTGCAGACAACAATAATATGATGTACCAATATATATATATTTTTGACATTGTCACAGAAAATACATATACAGTAACACTGACATTGGGGTAGAACAAATATTGTAAACATTTAGTAAAACGGGCCAAATGGTCATTATAATCTGTTACATCTTCTTACAGTAGCAGATTATAATGTTCATTTAGTTACTTATAATAATTGTTTTTCCCAGAATGTTCACAGTATTTTGTCAAACCCTGTATACATTCATTACTTGGTCTATTTTCCATTTGCAAAATTACAATAAAAACATCATTAAATATTTTTTTACTAGTAACAAAATAACTTAAACATCTCATACAATACAAATGCACCACCGAATAAAAAAAAAAGAAGAAAAGTATGCAATTTGGGTCACCAGAAAAAAACAATTGTTGTAGACCTCATGCACTACATTTTGAATAAAGGTATATCTTCCCATATTTCATTGATGTGTCTCGGCAGTAAATCATACGAGTACAGAAAACTGTCATTCAGATATACTGACCATCCTCTGTATTTGAGGCTACAAAGCGTATGTGGTCTGGAGATTCTTTGCCTGCCGACTCATACGGGTCTGCCGACATCAGTCGCGTTTGTAACTGGCATTTCCTCCAGCCTACGGCCAGTTCTTTTGTGGCGAGAACAAGCCCTCCTTATGCTTCTCACTGAGCTCATCCGACCGTCCATCTATCCATCCCTATCTCCCTCACTTTCCCCCGTCCTGTCTGTCCTGTCTCTCCCTCCCTCCCTCTGACACATGCAGCACAACAGCGCTCACATTCGGGTAAGTCATGTTCTCATGACTGAACATGATTGACTCAGTGAATAAGGCTTTAAAAACACACTGACTGTGCCCGGGCAGCAGCGATAGATCACTGGGCAACAGCTTTGAAATACAATGAAGGGATTCAAAGAGCCTCTGGCGATGGCTATCTACCATCTGGTCAGATCTTTGATACACAAAGCAGAGCGCTTGTCAAAGTGCTCGGCCTGTTGTTCGTGACTATAGCAGGTTTGTAATTTGACAAATTGGAATCAAGTCAACAAGTCAACAAGACAAGCTGCTCTTTGATTCCCCTTTTTACCTCTGATGCTTTACCAAAAAGCAGTATTGATAGGCATGTGCATCATGTACCCCCCCAATATGTTTTCAGTAGACGTAGAGCAGGTAGGATTCAGTGTGTTGACTGTTTACTCTACAGCAGTGAGTCTCGGAAACTAACAGCAAACAAATTGATGACAGGAGTCCCATCTCAACAGGTAAAGACTTCTGCCAAACAAAGTGTTTGATTCAAGCCTCCGCAGATAGCTCAAAACTGGAGCATGGCAACACCCTGAATTGACATGAGGCAGTAATAAAAAATAAAAAGCTGTTAAACACTGGCCAAGACAAGACAACTAATGTACTTTCACCAGCCATTTTGGATCACAGCCAGCCAGTGTGTAAGGCGTTCTTCCGCTGCTCCCAAAAACCTCTTTGGATAGTTAAGTGCCAGAAGTGCTTGGGGAATATTTTTGTGACACACCCGCTTTCACAGCAGGTGAGTCGTCTCTCGTAGTCCGTGCACTCAGATGTCAGTGTCAGAAAAAACACTTGTTTATCCAGAAGGCTCCTGGCACTAACAGAAGAACCTGGAGAGTGAGTTGTTATTCTGTGTTGCAGATTTCCCTTTTCTATTAATCATGCTTCATCCGCTCTCATGTGCCTCCCCCACTGGCTGAGTGTCAGCGGCGTGGGTGAGTGTTTGAAGTGGGATGGAGATAGACACAGTTTGAGAGCGTGTCAGAAGGGGCCATTTGGCTATTTTCAGTGTTGCAAACTGGTAATAGCTTTCCTAGACTTGACCTGAAAGTTAAAAGAGAAAGAGAAAGTAATGACTCACTGTCTCAAAAGTGTTTTCCGTTTCCTGTTTTCTATGGACAATAATACATTTCCAAAGCGGAAATCAATCACTTTAGGTAATGATGAGTTCCTCAAAGTACTGCTGAATATTTCATAGATGTTAACTTACCAGGAATTGCCTTCCTGGAAGGTGCTCACCAAAATGAAGGCACATTATCATGAAGGATTAATTAGGGCGAACCACAGTAACCCAAAGAGATTAGAGTGAAGTGTTGTTAATGGAAGTATTTCTAACCAAATAACGGTATGTTTAGATGGAGGCGCCTACGTTTCTTTAAAACAACAACAGATAACCACTATAATTTGAGGTATATTCCATCTGTTATATAACACCAGGATATGGTCCTCTATAAATAACTAATTGTGAAATGGCTCCCAGCAGATCAAGAGCCGGAAGTCCAAAGTGAAAGTGCTCCTTGTGGTATAGAATCTATTCAGTCCTTTTGAGTTTGACATGATCACCCTTTTATACATGCATGCAATCATCCGTCTCGAGTGTAATAACTGTATTCCAATTTTCTCAGTAAAGGAGCAAAATAATTATTTCCGACGCTAGTTTATTCCATACAGCATGAGTATGTAGCATTGATGCATGATTTTTGTTTCTTAGTCCAATTTATAATAAAATAGAAAGCAATATGTTTAATGGCTAACTTGTGTTTGGGTTGCTTTATGGTGTTGTGTTTTCCCCTGTAAAACTTAAATGCTTTCACTTTGGTTATGTGTCCTTATTTTTAACTTGCCAGAAAATTGCTTTTTCTTTTAGCATTAGCTTAACTTAGCTCCACTCTCTGTGAGGCTTTTGGGTTGCAAAAAACCACAACATGGCTACAACCTACTTCTACAATGCCCATCTTTGGTCTACTTTGGTTTACTTATTGCACGTTGCTTTGGATAAAAGTGTCAGCTAAATGCATGTAATTTAATAATTAATGTCTACAGCCATGGTAAGCATCTCTGTGGTGCAGCAGTGCTTCGAGCTAAATGCTAACATCAGCATGCTAACATGTTCACACAAACATGCTATCATGCTGATGTTTAGCCGGGATTTGTACCATCTTCACTGTCTTAGTAATGACCTCATGCTGGTCAATTACTATTGTTTCACACTGTGTCTATGTATTGTATATTATCTATCATACAAAGTGAAAACTAATTTTCACGTTTCATAAAGTAGCTAATTCCACTCCGAATAATTACTCACCAGCCACACTATGATGACAACACAAGCTGTGAAGGGGATGAGAGCCAGAAGCAGTGGATATCTGTTGGACCAGTTGTACTTACGACCCTCCCGCTGACCACCTGGAACAAGATAATATATTTAGAAATCTGATCCTGACCTATCATCTTTTCTTTTTCTTTTTATTCCACAAATATATAACAGACATGAAGATGTACAACCCAGTCTCATGGCATTTCGTGTTCACCAACACGATTTTTAATCTATTGATTCGTGTTCACCAACACGATTTCCCCCTTTTTTTCGTGTTGCACAGCACGATTTTAAAAGCAATGTATTTCTACTGGTAATGACGCTCATGGAAGCATTCGTTTGTGTCGGCTGCCCTTAAAGGCAATGTGAGCGTCCATTCTCATTGGATAACGGATAATTGTACACCCGGAAGTAAGTATTCCCCTTACTGTCGATTGATTTTACAGTGATATCTGCACTACTCATCGACTAAAAAACACCAGATTATCCTTGTTAATTACACAACATTGATTGGTTTAAATTGTGTGCAATGCTTTTATATTTTTCCCCTTCGATTCGGAGAAACAAATATTTTTTCGGAGTAAAGGATGGCAGAAGACACTACACTACCCAGAATCCCCAGCTATCGTTTACACCATGTGCTCTGTTTGACAAACCCCGTTTTTTTTCACATTTCATTCCAATGGCTGGCGTCTATGTCACGTGATCTTCAAATTTCTCCCTGCAGAAAAAAAAAACATGGTCGAACTTCGTTTTATTCTCGGTGGAAAAGGCCTATTTTAAAGTTAGTTTGGCCATTAAAATGCGTTTTGATGTCATTTGATGCGAGAAATATGAGTTGTTATTTCAGATTATGTGTGCAGTGATACATGATCTTTAGTTTGCTAGTTATTACGAAGATTACTTCAGGAAATTGCGTCCATAGAACGTTTTCATTGTTACCAAGGTGGTTGCTAGGGATGCTGCCTATCGATATTATTTCGGTTATGTTGTGTAACTGTTAATGGTCTTATCTTTATTGCTACCCCCTTCCCCGTCATTGTATAGTGTTGGTCCCACAGCGCAAACATATTTGTTTAACAAATCCGCATCTAAAGATAGCCTACGTTATTTCCCCCTGTGCACATCGTCATTAAACAAATACCGGAAACAGAACCGGAAAACATTTAAAAAATATATATATTCCTTATATTCCGAGTGTGCTTGCTTTTTCTTTTGAAATCATCACATAACGGCATTGTAATACACGGTTCGGCTGCATTAAATATTACATATCTGCCGTAGTTCTGTATTTATAGAGCCCTGATGAGAAGACTTCTAGACAAACATGAGGAACTGAAAACGTGACGTGGATCATAAATATATCAGCCATTAAACACCATCTCACATTTCTTTTCACACAATACGTCTCCTTGCCGTATCAACACTAATTCGGCTGACTTTTATATTTGATCCAATTGGTAGATAGGCTGTATTTACACCATAAAGGTGCACAGCTGATATAAAGGGACACCTAGTTGTTAAAGCATGTTATTGGAATTTCATTATTTTTATTATTAGATATTAATAGGATCCCTATAAAGTATATTCATTACTCGTTATTCTCTACTAATAGTTCATTAAAGACTGTATATAATGACTATTTTGCACATCCCTTTCAAGATTTTCTAAGGTTTATTGACATAACATATAGGCCTACACAACTATGGTGTAGTTATGCATTGAATGAAAAACTTGGGTCGCAGGTTCCTCAATAGTGCATTACAAGACATCTATCAATATTTGTGCATACCTCCAGCAATGTAACTATGTTGAAGCACTTATTTTAACTGATATTATACATAATGTATTATACTCTTATAAGATGTATGTAGATATTTCATCTCCGGCCTTGTCAGGTATTGAACAATCAATAAATAAAAGAACACAGAATTGTTAAATATAAAACACAGAATTTGTGTGATTATACTAATGATTTACAAATAAACACCACTGCATATTTACAACTGTTACACATGCTGATGTAACGCAAATGTTCCAACTTGGGATCAATAAAGTATATCTTATCTTAAGCTGATCGATGGCTACTGCCATATTTGCAAAATTTGCCTCTGAACCTTGACAAGTGCATGTTTCAGGCTTATCAATTAATGTAATGTAATGTAATGTTATCAATTAACAACAGGGGTCACAAACATAAGACCAGCTGTTAAATAAAGCTCTTCTGACCTTAGCTGGCATGTGTGTATATATATTAATGCTGCCCATTATGGGCACAAGCAATTTTCACCCATTTATTAATTATATGTTTTAAATTTGAGTGTTTCCTTTCCCCTAAACCTCCAGGGATGTACACAGTTTAATACTGGCAACTTCTTATTATATGGGAAATATGAAAACGTCTTTTAAAACTACAACTCCCAGTAGAGACGTGCCATTAGGCGCATTCACACCGCAGTACTTTTCCCACAAAGGTTCATGAGAACTTAGTTCATGAGAACTCTTTAGTTCTCATGAACTAAGTACAGATCGCGTTCACACCGGAATAAATCCCTGGGGGAGGATTAGGCCAATGAAGCCGCTGACGTCACTTCTTCTTTCTTCTTCTGCTTTGGGTTTACTGGCAGGCCGCAAACCACTTCACGGCGTATACTTTCGTGGGGGTAAAAAGGTTCTCATAAACTAATTTTAGTACCGGCTCTTTTTGGTGTGAACGCGACAAAAGAGTTCTCATGAACTAAGTTCTCATGAACCTTTGTGGGAAAAGTACTGCGGTGTGAATGCGCCTATAGATAGAGAACATGTTGCGAAACAGAATAGCCATCATGTGTAGTTCTGGGGACGGGTGGGGGAGGGGGGGACGCGGTGGACCCGTTCAAATCCAGTTTTGAACAGTCTGCCGTGGTTCCATCCCATTTCAAGTGCTGTTCGAGGCTTCGGCGTAACCCTCGGAGCACACTCTCCAATCACAGAGCTTGAGGACTATCACGGGGTTTTGTCAAACAGAGCACTCCCCCGATAGCTGGGGATTCTGGGTAGTGTAGGTGTCTTCTGCTATCCTTTACTCCGAAAAAATATTTGTTTTCTCCGAATCGAAGGGGAAAAATACAAGAGCATTGCACACAATTTAAACCAATCAATGTTGTGTAATTAACAAGGATAATCTGGTGTTTTTTAGTCGATGAGTAGTGCAGACATCACTGTAAAATCAATCGACAGTAAGGGGAATACTTACTTCCGGGTGTACAATTCTCCGTTATCCAATGAGAATGGACGCTCACATTGCCTTTAAGGGCAGCCGAAACAAACGAATGCCGTGCTTCCATGAGCGTCATTACCAGTAGAAATACATTGCTTTTAAAATCGTGCTGTGCAAACACGAAAAAAGGGGAAAATCGTGTTGGTGAACACGAATCAATAGATTAAAAATCGTGTTGGTGAACACGAAATGCCATGAGACTGGGTTGAGATGTACATACACAAATCACACCCGCCTCTGTTTACAGTCCACTCAAATATACACGTTATTGCTCACACATACATTGCTTATTTATTGAACTAGCATCAATGATTCAAATGGTTTCTGTCTCTCAAAAAGACTCACGTTGACAAATGCATGGTGTAAAAGCCCCACTTAGCAGGCTTTTATGACCCTATAACCGCTTAATTACCTGTGTGTTCAGGGTTAGCGTACATATCCGGTTCCTATCCCCAGTTGTGTTTTCTTGACCACAGAATCAATATCTGCCAACAAATAGGCCACTAAGCTTCTTTAGTTGTTGAGGAAGCCATTACAAATGCAAATGCATGACCGTACCTGGTATTTGTTGTGAATTAAGGCATGGTGGTGGCTTGCACGAGAAACCGGATGTTCCTTTGGAGGCCGCATGTAAGACGTCTTTGATGTAGTCAAAGTAAAGGCCCGATGTCAAGCGCCCTTCCTGATAGTGACACTGGAAGAGTTGCATCGCAGTTTCCTGGGGGATCAACAGCACAACAAGCAGCTCTGATAAACCTCAATTATGTAATTATATGTGCAAAACAGACCCTGAATGTGCAAAATATGACTTCCTAAAACTGAGTCCAAGTTGCTCAATCCTTTCCAATTACTTACGAGCTCCTCATGGTCAAAGGTGAAGCGTAAACTCTTCAGCATCGCAATGAAGACGACTATGTTTTCTTTGTTGGAGGAAATGGTGCCAAACATGTTGGCTAGCTTCCTTAGACTCTGCTCCAAAGGATAGATGTTCAACACGACCCAGCACGTGCCAGCCTGCAGATGTGTACCAAAGAAATTATCACTGTTTGTTCAATCATTAATAATCTGTTTGACATTATTCCTACTTTCACCTCCTTATACTCACCACTTCTTTGGGAATGTAACTAACAGGAATCTCATAATCAGAGGGGATATTCTGCTTCTACAGCGGAGAAGATGACAGAAAGATTTGTGTGGGGTTAAATACAAACACTAGAAACATGTATATGAATGTATGGGTAATATGCATCAACCCTGTATTAACTCACCAATAATGACAGCTTGCTCACATCGTCAGTAATCGGCGTCCCAAATTTTCCGGAGCAGAGATTTAAACTTGTGAACAGACTCAAGAGGAGACAAGGTGCTTTCAAGATCTAAAAGACAGAAGAAAATTAATGCTCTGAAAAAACTGAACGGTTGACTTTAATTTAATGTTTTATGTCAACACAATAAGGTTAAATAATAGGTTAATATTATTGCTTTCAACTAACCTTATTGTGAGTAATTTCTTTTGACATTTAAGGATTACAGAATATTTTTATATACACAACATCATAGCAGTCAACTCTTTGATGATCATAATTTCCATACAACATGAACGGTATATGAAAACACGTGCAAATAATGTCATATTATGTGTAAAAAAAACAAAAAAGGACAATTTCTTACTCAAACAGGATTTGATATACTGTAGTATAGTTTTACTTGTTTTTCAAGGACTCAGGGACTTTCAAATTATACCAAATTCTCTGCTTTTCATTTCTGAACGAGACAAGAAATAAATGTGTCCAAAGGTAATACACTTTTTTGAATTTTTAAAGCAAAAAAAGCTAAGGCAAATGAATCATCAATGAAACTGATAAAATACATAATAGTTAGTTACAACCCCAGTCCAAAATAAAAACTATTTAGACCGTGGATTCATTTCACGCCTGAATGATAATAAAATAATAAGACACGGCAGGACCAAATGCACAGACGTTTTTTTGACATCTGCTTTGACTATTTGCCACTTGAAAGACTTTAAGATATCAAATGCAAAAAGCATGCAATGAGGTTGAATCTGATGAATCACACTTCAAAGTTGCCAGAGTGAGTGTTGGCTTCAAAGGATTTTTTCATCCTTGTCAAATGAATATGCAGATGGCCGTCTGGGAACACACAATCTATTCTGTTCGATATATTGAGTCAAAGTAAATCCTTTTCTTCCCCTTTCAGGAGATTACTGTCTGCTTTTTGTGCGACTGTGTGGTAAAGTGTCTTTTGAAAAGCGCTATATAAATTAAATGCATTATTATTATTATTATTACAACACCAGCAGTGACTGTAGACCTCTTTACACATTTAGAACTGATGTATTTATATCTTAAATTTACACATTTATCACTTTTTAAAAGAAATACTGAGGTTTTGTCAGAGGAGTTATTCTTATTTTTTACACTGAATGTTTAGATACTATGGAAATATTTAAGCACTGATGTATTTATGTCTTAAATTCACAAATTCTTCGCTACGATTTATTCAACACTGAAAAAAGAAACACTGTGAGATCATTTTTCTGATTGTACAGTAATATATTGTAAGAATAAAGAAGAATATACAAACATACATCTCTCTCTGTAATTTAACCATATAATACAGCTAAATCACTGAATACACTTTTACAACAAACTGTTTCTGTAAGAGAAATAAATTATACTTACTTTCTTCCTCATATGGAGCAAGAATCCGTGGTTGCTTAAATCCAAGGCATGAAATTAAGTGTTTCCAGTTAAGAGACAGAGCTCATTGTGTGTGTGTGTGTATATGTACATGTGTGTGTGATGTCCGAGCATCTAGTGAAACTTGAGGATGGGCTGCAGTCTGCTCTCGCTCCAGACAGATTGGAGAAGTGTTCTGACGCGGTGGAGAGGCCGCCTACAGGCTGAGTCACCGTGTCACACACTGCATCTGTCTCAGACTTTTTCCATAAACTCCTACGTATCAGTGTGTTCGTCAGGAGAAAAGTGGGCGCCTGTTCTCCGGAGGGAATATTCTGCTTAGAATAAGTCAAGGTTACTCCCAAAACTACTAAGTGAGAATTAGGTTTTTGGTACAGCTTGAAGGTGTTTTGAGGGTGGCTGATTTTCATTTTTTCAGTATTGTTATCCATTTGGATTAATGGATTTCATCATTGTCATCATCATTTATTCACAAGTTAAACTAAAAAAATCACGAGACATAATGGAGACATGTGAAATGGGACATCCCAATAAGATATAGGAAGCTTGAGCCCAGACAATAAGAACATAAAACGTAACATATTTTCTTTATTTAACATTAATACATAAGGAATTGAGAGAGTTAATGTATTATTATTAAACATTACAACCAGGGTTGCACGCACGCACGCTTAATAAGATTGTTTTTGCCTATTAGCAAATACACCGTTGCAGTCAGTAAATATGAAGTAAAAGCCAATATCATGTATGTTGTTGTGTCCCTGGGAAAGACACTTCACCTCAGGTTGCTCCTGTAGAGATTGCCCATAGTGAGTATGTAAGTCACTTTAGATAAAAGCGTCTAACAAGTGACATGTAATGTATTGATTTCTATTATCAAATCAGTATTAATCACAAAGGAAAACACTGAGTAAAGTGCTGCACATTACCCATTATTATCACTAACCTTTGCCATCACTGCGGTGTGGAATGTTAGCATTGCCCAATATGATACAGCCTGATTTTAATACAGTCTATGGATTTAGCGTATGCTCTGTAACAGGTATGTGACCAAGTGACCTCTCGTGAATGAAGTCACAATCAGGGTACTTTGCACAGGAGAGGTGGAAGTGAAAACGCAGCAGAGCTGAGTCAGGTCGTCTAGGTTACGTCTAACCCAGACATAAAAAACACACGACTGCAGGCACGCGCTCACATCAAAAGGTGAGACTCGTTGTTCACAGAATTACACTTTTGAGGTGTTAGGTGTGACAGATTTACACGAATGTGACTAACATGTGCAGCGCTTTACAGCTGTGACACGGTGCAGACAGATGTGACGCTAGCATGTTGGAAGTGAGTCCAGCTTGAGTTTGTTTTATGATAATAATCTTTATTGTGAGCAGGAAGATATAAATGAGGAACTTATGGAGTTTGCCTTTCGATGAGAGCATTCAGGATGCCAAGCGGCCATGTTCAATATAAATAAATGTTTTCATATCCTAGAAATACGACTTGGTTGCAGGTGTGTCTCACTGAGTGGACAGCCACTCGTGAAGGTAAACATAATACTGGTTGTTAAAACATTAGAAAATCACAACAGGAGAACGTTCATATTGTCACTACATGTATTTAATACCTTTAGTTACTTTACAGATCTGGATGAATGATGTGAAATATAATCAAGTGTTAAATCAGACTTTAGTTCCACCTGGAGTAAATCCACAAGCTACCCTGCAGTATACACAGTCATTCAAACTAGCTGCACCTTTACCAGCTTTGAGAACACTTTAATGATCAATCATTATAAAACATATCATATATATTATTCTGAAACGGACCAATCTGCAAAAAGACTATACTTTTGGTACTTTAACTATAATTTGATGCCAATACTTCTGTACTTTTACTTGAGTAACCTTTGTAACAGCCCTGCTGAAAAAAAACAGCTAAGACCGATTTAGCTGCAGTAGATATGGAATGGAATGGTTGGCTGGTTTAGAGGGGTTTTGACGCTTTCGCTGGTTTAGCTGGTTTTGACACTTTCGCTGGTTTAGCTGGGCTAAATCAGCTAAACCAGCTAAACCAGCTAAACCAGCTAAACCAGCTAAACCAGCTAAACCAGCTAAACCAGCTAAACCAGCCATCCTGGCCAGCTAAAAAACCCAGCATACCAGCATAGCTGACATTGTAAAGTGTTCATAACAGTATTTTAATTTAATAAATAGCAATAAATATCTATAGTTAATATAATAAAATACACAGTATTATAGTAACAATACAATAATTATACAAATAACAACCAACCTGCAAATCAACCGATACATCAACATTAATATATAATCTAAAACAGGTGCATTTGATTTAAAATAAAAGTAATGGCAGGGACGCGGGAAGGGGGGGTGCTGAGGGGGCTGAAGCACCCCCATCTGTTGGCGGAGGGTTGTAACTGCAACGCCAAAAAGTTCACTAAACAAATCAATATAAAAGTTTTATTTTCAGTTACTATAGATAATAAGCAGAGTTGTGCAGCTCTATTTATTGACCTTTCAAAAGCGTTTGACACCGTCGATCATCACATTTTAAAGCAGAGGCTACTCAGTATCGGCATATCCAGCCATGCAGTGGGTTGGTTTGTGAACTACCTCTCTGAAAGGTCCCAATGTGTTCATTTTGATGGGCTGTCTTCTGAGTGGTTGAACATTGCAAATGGTGTTCCCCAAGGTTCTGTTTTAGGTCCACTTTTATTCTCCATCTACATCAACAGTTTAGGTGAAAATGTGGATGAAGCTACTTTACATTTGTATGCGGATGATACCGTGATGTACTGTGCAGGTCCCTCCATTAAGGAGGCTGGTGTTAAATTACAGGCTGTTTTTAACATTATTCATTATTCATTCTTTTAAATGTTGAGAAAACCAAGGTAATGCTCTTTTCTAAAGCTAAAAAGACACCAGAGCCTGTTTTAGATATTGTAACTACGCAAGGAATACAACTTGAAGTGGTTACCTGTTACAAATACCTTGGTATCTGGTTTGATGATTGTCTCACTTTTAAACTTCATGTCAATAACCTGCTTAAAAAGCTGAGGGTTAGGCTAGGTTTCTTCTACAGGAACAAGTCCTGTTTCTCGCTTGAGGCCAGGAAAAGGCTAGTCACTGTGACCTTTTTACCTGTGCTGGACTATGGTGATTTGATGTATATGAATGCACCTGCCAATTGCCTGGTCAAGTTAGATGCTGCGTATCACAGTGCACTGAGATTTGTGACAAACTGTAAAGCATTAACGCATCACTGTACCCTGTATGCAAGGGCTGGTTTGCTTTCACTAACTGTACGGAGGCTCAGTCACTGGTACATTTGTATATACAAAGCCATGTTAGGGAAACTTCCATCTTATATCTGCTCCTTGATCTCACGGAAAATTGTAAGTGGCTACTGCCTGAGATCGAATGCTGTGGTTTTATTAAATGTGCCAACTGCTAGGACTGTCTTAGGGAAGACAGCTTTTAGATGTGTAGCTCCTCTGTCTTGGAATAGTCTGCAAATTAAATGGAAACTGAACAATCTGGTGCCACTAAATGTTTTTAAAGCTCGGTTGGATGCTAGTCAATCGGAAGCTATTGGTACCTGTTTATGTGGATAATTATGTAAATGATGCTGTATGATGTCCTTTTCTTGTTCTATTTATGTTTTATGTTTCATGTGGAACTACTTGAGCAGGTCTCCCTTGAAAAAGAGATCAATGATCTCAATGGGATTTATCTGTATAAATAAAGGTTTGAAATGAAATGAAACTATTTTTGAGTTAGCATTTTAGTGTAAGCTGTCTATAAAAAGCTTCACTATATAAGAGAAAGGGATAATGCAGTGATATTATTCTGAAATGGACCAATCTGCACAATGGCTACTTTTGCTTTTACTTTAAGTATATTTTGATGCTCATACTTTTGTACTTTTACTTGAGTAACATTTTGAATGCAGAGCTTTTACTTGTATCATCCTTCACTCGGTACTTCTACTTCTACTACAAGATCTGAGTACTTCTCCCACCTTTCACATCTATAATTATTGTATGTTGAGTACAGCACACAACCATTTTCCCACCACCGTCAGATCTTTCTGTGTGTGTTTCTGAGCTCCACTAGGTGGTGAAGTGTTCGCCAACAAAGTCCTGTATGACGCGTCTGGATCTGGAAACTTGGAATGCATCGAGCTTCTTCTGCAGAACGGAGCCAACCTCAATGTAGCTTCGCCTGCCAGCTGCCCATCCACAGAGCTGTGAGGGACGCATACTGTGAGCACCAATCATCCAGCATTACTACCATGCAAACATCTTAAGAATATCAGAGTTCTAGATTTCACCTATTATGCAAAATCCACTTCTTCATGTCTCTTCTACATCAACATGTGTCCCCTCTTCTTCATGTCTCTTCTACATCAACATGTGTCCCCTCTTCTTCATGTCTCTTCTACATCAACATGTGTCCCCTCTTCTTCATGTCTCTTCTACATCAACATGTGGAGGAACAAAGATTCTCTCTCTTTTTGATCCATTTCTATAAAAACCTGTCTGAAAATGAGCTGATCAGATTTTGGCCACTTTATGATGTCATAACGATGTTTTGTCTTGTGTAACCATTAGCCAATCAGCAACCAAGGTAACCCCCCCCCCCCCCCCCCCCCTTATCACCTGAATCTCCTCCTAGAGCACCATTGAGTTCTTTGTAACCAAATGTCTCTCAGAGGGGCGTGGGGAGGGGCTCCTTATTTTCATCTAAAGCAGTGGTTCTCAAACTTTTTCTGTCAGGCCCCCCCTTTGGAGAAAAAAAAAAGTCGGGCCCCCCCAACACAGATAGTCAGGCTCAGTGGCGGCGCCAGAGATTTATTTTGAGGGTGCTGTGGGGTAGCTTGACGTTTCATAGAGGGTGCTCAAACATTTAGGGTTTCCCATTAATGTACCGGTCGCTACAGTGGAACGTTCTACTGCAACAATCCCCACGCACATACACAGTGCGACTGTTACAATGAAGGCTCGATAATCAGCTCACGGCATATAGGTGTAAGCAGGGGTCAAGTGCTATTTTTACAGGTGGTGTGTGGACCTCACATAGGGGGGTCCGGGGGCAAGCTCCCCCGGGAAGATTTATTTTTAAATATTGAAGTTAAATGCATCAATCTGGTGCACTTTGAGAGCAAAATGAAGAGATCTATGGATACCTCTCTCAACACCCATATGAAACAGATTTACTTTTTCTTTATGGATATTTTACAAATCACCCTTTTAAACTTTATTCTTTTTTTACTGTCATATAGTATTTCATACCTGTTTTTCATTTATTCTCTTATTTTTGTATAACTATAATGATCATATAAACGTGTGCCTCGGAAATAATTGTTTACATTAATGGTGACCAAAACATTTGAGACCCACTGAGATAACACTGCAGAGTCCTTTAGCTCACTGAGACTCTCAGTCTGACAGGAGAGGACTCTCCTCCACTTTGTTGTTGAAAAAACTCCTTATATCTGTTAGCGTAGCTCGCTAGCACCAGAAGCTAACAACAACGATCTCCAGTACCGGTGCGCTCTCTCTCTCTCTTGCGCACACAAAATGGCTCGTTCCACACACACACACACACACACACACACACACACACACACACACACACACACACACACACACACACACACACACACACACACACACACACACACACACACACACACACACACACACACACAGAGCCAAGCTTTAATGAAACACAGAGACCCAGACGTAATAGTACTGCATCATATTATTTTCGAATCAATGATTTTAAAAATTCTGATCTTTTTTTTTTAATCTTTTTTTTTTTAGAACCATTTTTCCTCCTGGTCTCTCGCGCCCCCCCTGGCATGCCTCTGCGGCCCCCAGGGGGCGCGCGCCCCCCACATTGAGAACCACTGATCTAAAGTAACAGACAGAGAATCAGCACTTTGGAAACAGGGCTGAAACAGAGGGGATTATGGGTAATGCTGCAATGATCTGTTTGGTGTTTCAGCCAATCAGAGACAGGCTCTGTATATATCTGAGACCTGTGATGTATTGATGAACAACAGTATAACAGGGGACCTTTAATGTATATTATATAGTTACAGAAAGAAAGACATTCCTGGAGTCAAGTTGCCATTTCTCTCCTCTCACTTAGAGGCCAACTTGATCAATCTGTGAAGTGTCTCTCTCTGCACCTCACAGCTCTGCCGTCACTCTGGTGATTTTCCACAAAGAGCCTTCTGTGTATCACTGCAGTTTCATCACTGAACAACACTGCAGCAAAACCACAATCTAATGAACATGTTTCCCCATGTCCTGTTTTCTGGTTTTAGCATTTGTTTTTCACTGTCTCTGGTTTTCACTTTCATGCTGTTTCCCCCCCTCCCAAGAGAGGGGGGGAAACAGCCCTCCCCTCCCCCTCTCTCTCTGTCCTTCTCAGAAAATATTAAATTCCAAAACAGCTTGATTGGCACCAATGTAACAAGGACAATAGCAGAAAATCATTATTTTGTGTGTGTGTGTGTGTGTGTGTGTGTGTGTGTGTGTGTGTGTGTGTGTGTGTGTGTGTGTGTGTGTGTGAGTGAGAGAGAGAGAGACCCATGAAGAGCTGATGATATATATACGTGTCCAAATCAACTGTTCATCGTCACACATGTACACTGCACTTAAGTGGGAATTAACCCATTATAGTGTTTGTATTAGTGTTGTCAGCTTACCAACATTTTGGTTTCGATACCAAGTCAAGAATTGCGATTCCGATTATTTTTCGATACTTCTCTTAAAAAAAGGGAAACAGTCTTAAATGTAATTATTGTGCTTTATTTCACACCAGAACCATAACCATAGCACAAACTTTTAAACAATAAATTAAATAAATGACTAGAATTTCTATTAAATACAATTAAGCATAATCTATAAACAACTTTTTTGTTTTTCGCTTCTGGCGTCTTTTTTGTCAACAAGCCGAGGCGAAGCGGCAGTTGCACTCCCACTTGCAGCCATGCTTCTCGCTTTCTCACATGCTCTGGCAGCTAGCGCGTGGCCGCGTGCACGAGAGAGGGGAGGCACTTAGAGCGTGCACAAGAGAGGGGCGGGACTGCAGGCACGGCTGCAGTGCAGGGAGTGGAAGCAGAGCGCTGAACACACACGGCTCTTATTAAAACGGCGCTTTCTCACCGGAGTACTTTTCCCCGTAATTCTTAAAGTACCGATACTAATGAAACGGAGGAATCGTAACGTTTTTAACGGCAGGGTATCGCGGTACCTTTCAAGTATCGGTACACCGTGCAACACTAATTTGGATACTTTGCCTCCAAACCCTCCATCATAGAATTATCATAATCATGTGTGCCTTGCTCAAGGGCACCACGCCAGGTGAACTGGGACCTCTTCAAGTACCAGACCACACTCCATATTTTAGGTCTGTTCGGGACTTGAACCCTACACTGCCGGACACAATACTATACACTATATATTATATAATACTATATACTACTATACTATACTTTGCTTACTGTAGCCTACTATACTAACCAGGTTGACTGATGACTGATATACTGTGTATATACTGTATATGTGTGTTTTTAAATTAGTTGAAAGCATTACTATTAAGTTTAAATACAAAATATGTATTGCTTTCAACTAAGCTAATACAGTTTTGTGAAATCTGTTGACCTAATACATTTAATTCAAGTCAACATTTCAGTTTTTTCGGTGCATGCAACCCATCAATGAGCCAACAAAACAAAAACATTCAATAAACAACTTCCCAGATTTTTGTCTTTTTCCATTCTGTGAGTTTGTCTCTGTGTCGTGTCGTGGAAACTCTTGGACTACGTCGGTAAACATCTGTCCTGTCATCAAGCGAACCTGGAGAAGACGCCCGAGTGGGAGGAGATATCTGACAAACTGAGTAAAACTTTAAATCTGTCCAGGATGTTTAGCCATGGATACGAATGTGTAACTGGAGGCTTGTTGTTGTTTCTGTGTCTGCAGGCAGGCCGACATCTCTGCAGCACTTCAGTCGACTTCAGAGGTCACATGACCCTCGGGATGCTGAATGACCCTGAATCTGCTTTCCATTATCCTCCGAGACTAAAGAGCTACCTGACCTACAGAGAGAACGACCTATAGGGCCACCTCTCCTCTCTGTGAAACACTTTTGATCTGTGTGATGGAAACACTTTTCTCAAAATATATGAAATGGGAATGCATTTTCTCTGAAGGCCTACCACTTCTTTTAAGTGTCAGAAAAAAATATGACTTCCTATGTTTGAAAAGTTAAATGTTTTCTCTCTTTATTGAGTCTTCTTATTTTGCATTGACATAGCACATTCTGTCTTTGTTAAAAGGCGATTGATTAATGGCCATGATAGATAACAAATAATAATTTAATAAGGTGTTAGGAAAGGCCGGGAATATCCAGAAAGAAAATCACAAAGAAAGTACTTTTTTACAAGGACACACATGGCTTTAATTTACTTGTTGGATTGGTCTGTCTGGATTTTTTTTTTTAAATCTGTCCAATAGCAGGTTTTTATTTTATGTTTTACAGATTTGACCTGAAGGTTAGTGACAGTTTTTACAAAACAAAAACTTATCATTAAGAAAAAGACGAATGAAATAGGTGTGTAATATAGCATATGCTATAATTTCAATAAACGTATGTGTTTCTTTATATTGAACCCCTAATGTCAATGTGTCTGTGTGCATTTCATATACCAGGCTGTTCACCCATGTCCCATACCTTGTTTACCTTGACTTTTTTACACATAAGAGCTTAAAAAGTGCAGACTAAAAGAAAATGTTGATAAAATGTCTGCAAGAGAGCAACGAAACAGCTGGTCATTCGGATGGGCCGTAAATGCACTTTCCACTCACACAGGCGTTTTCACTTCATGCTTATTAGACCTCAGCTCAAAGAGAATATAAGCAGGGAACTCGGCAACCAATCAGAACCATTTAGAAGTTAGATGTTCCGCCTTAACAGGTGCAATCAGACGCAGTCCTGAGAAGAAGTCTAATTAGGAGGTTAAGTGAAAACACCTCACTTTGTACTGGCTATACCTGATTATATTGTGTATTAGAAAAATGACCTTTTACATAGTATTGTCTCTTACACATATGTTTAAGAAGTCATTTTGCAATAAACTATTTATGGTAACAAATACTGGAACAACTGTGGTGTTTACTGAGTGACATTTAAACTACAGGGTTTTTGTGCTCTTATTCCATGCTGGGTCTGGCTCTGTCTAACAACAACTAGTCACTCAACAGCAGATTAGCACAACAGAAATATGAGCTGTTTAAAGCCCTTAATAATATTAGCAGAACTCCTGTTATTGTATTATGATCTCTGTGCCAGATTGAATGATCTGTGGCGATGGTGGGCCACGTATGTGTTTGCATGGGAAAGTGTTGATGTATTTAAGAGACATATAACCTCACAGCAGAAAGGTTTGCATTCTCTAAATACAAGTTGAGTAAATTGGCACTCAACCAGACATACAATTGATAAAAAGGGGAACATGTGACAGATTTAATCCTAAAGTCAAGTTTATTTACATCACAAATGCTGTAATGCAACACAGGTCATAATTCTCCCACTGCTATCCATTTGAAGCATCAAATAAAGTCGAAGCATTTAAACAACAGTCAACCACCATGCTAGCAGTTCTCTGAAGCTGTAGCCTGCTTGAAGTCTCACGGCATTTTGTGTTATAATCCCGAAATTCATTCCATCTATTGATTCGTGTTCACCAACATGATTTTTTTTCGTGTCACACAGAACAATAAAAAAATTAATGTATTTCTATTGGTAGTATGTTTCGTGCCTGCACCACGTCTTTTTGTCCGGTCGGGTCATGGAAGACCGGAAGCTGTGTGGTTCATAAAAACATTTTCTTACTCAATATCTTACCCTAACCCTTTTACTTTAAATAGTATAATGTCGGAGTTTTTTTGCCCCGTGAGGAAAAGAAATGGCTCAGAGCCTCAGAATACTGAAATCTGTATTTTTAAAATCTTTTTTTTCTTCTAATCTGTTATTATTTGGTGCAGGCACGAAACATACTACCAATATAAATACATTGCTTCTAAAATCATTCTGTGTCAGAATACTGAAATCTGTATTTTTTTTAATCTCTTTTTCCTTCTAAGTTGTTATTATTTACATTGCTTTTAAAATCGTTCTGTGTGACACGAAAAAAATGCGAAAATCATGTTGGTGAACACGAAATCAATAGATTCACTTCGTGATTATAACTCGAAATGCCGTGAGACTGTGTTGCATCGTCAAACTGCTAGCTAGGCTAAAAATCCTAGAAGCTGAATTAATGTATATTACTGGAGCTTAGGGCCTTATTTTAGTTTTGGATGTGCCTCTCATGTCAAAATCTACTAAATTAACAGAATGCTAACAAGTTAGGGGGGAAGAAGAAAGAAACGTACATATCTCAACCCAAACCTTAATCCTAAAGTAACAAAACATAAATAAACCCTTCAACCCTAGCTATCTTCTTTGTTCCATCCTCTAAATGTATATCCGGCAGTTTTAAAATCATCCAGATCAACTGACAACAACAACAGGAGATATAAATTGAGTATTTGGGCGATAGCTTATCTCTGTTTATCGTTTTATAGTTCTCTTCTGTTGTGTCCAGTTGTTCTTTTTTGGCCCTGAACAAAGCCACTCATGCTGTGGTGACAGACAGCTACGTTGACAGGCCACAGTCTCTGAGCTCACATGCTTTTTGTGGCTCTCGGAGGAGTGCCTCCCAAAAAAGACGCTGCATCATGGGGCCCACACTTTGGTACGTTCCCCTCTGATCCCTCTCTTAAGGCCAGAACGGCAGCTGGAGAGATTAGACAGGAGAGGAGAGGACACACACAACACACTCATAGCAGTACGAGAGGCCAGGATAGATCCGGTTCAGACTGGTGTGAGTACGTACTTCACCCAGAACCATTCACCTGAACTGGACCTCTTATGACCGTGGATAGCTAACTCACGTTGGACCTTTTCTTGGACTCTCTATACCGACACATCTCGTTCATTTTGGGATTCAGTAACGTACAACTCTAGTGTTTCTGCGGTTCAAAACGCTCCGGTCATGAGTTTTTTTCGGGTACCGCAGAGAGTTGAGTAAGTACGAAGATGTCGATGAAAGACGAGCTTCTGGCTTCCCTCAGCCCTGAAGAGCTGGCCGAGTTGGAAAAGGAGCTTGTGGACATCGATCCTGACGCCAACGTGCCCATAGGACTCAGACAGAAAGACCAGACGGACAAGACCCCGACGGGCACCTTCAGCAGAGAGGCCCTCATGAAGTATTGGGAAAATGAGACCCAGAGAATATTGGAGGACGAGATAGCTGGAGGAAGCCCCAAACCGGTCAGTAGATGTTTAATAAGAATAGCTTGGCATTTCTACAATGTGCTAGAGGCCTAAACGGCTTGTTTGAAGGTGTATCAGATGGAAACCAAGACAAAAAACTTTAAAAAGTTCAAAGTAAGAAGCAATTTAAAGGGAAAATAAGAGGAGATTCATAATTTTCTTCCACTGTTTCTTCAAAAAACATATGCTATCATTTAGCTCAATAATATACATGTCTTTAAGAAAACTAAAAGGTACAGCTTTGCATTTGAAACACTAACAAAATGTGATCAAAAATACAGGATGAAGAACAAGAGGAGTGTGTGACAGAAGAAAACAGCGGGGAAGAGGATGAAAAAGATGTTGAAAACGAGAAAGAAGACAAGAAGGAGAAGGAAGAGGAAGAAGAGGAGGAGCCGGATGAAGAAGAAGATGAAGAAGAAGAAGAAGAAGAAATAGAAAGTGAGGAAGAGGAAGAAGCTGTAACAGAGGAAGAGGAAGAAGATGAGGAGGAGGAGGAGGAAGAAGAAGATGAAGAGGAGGAACAGAATAAAAAATCTGAGCCTGAACCCTCAAAGGATTTTGGGGCGCTGAGCTCAGCCCCAATGCTACTGAGGCCACAGAGGGCGGAGCCTATTAGACTGACTCCTCCCCCTCCACCTGCCGACCCCAACGCCACCGGAAACCCCACCGTTGTTGACGAAGCTCTTCAACAAGCTTTGAACAACAGCCCTGAACTCACGGAGGTCAATCTGAACAACATTGATGATATATCTCAGGTACGAATGCAGACAGGAGAAATTCACTGATGTAAACAAACGAAAATCAAAGAAATAAGACAGAAATGAAATCAAAAAATATAACTCCCGCTAATCTTTTTGGAATGATCCAAGGCTTGTTTCGTACATTTATTTGTTGATCCAATATCCTCCAAAAGTACAATTATCACGTTTCCAATAATTAATTGCCCTGTGCCTTTTCTATGGCATGCTTGTTTCATCTTGGTAAAAAAAACATTTGCCTGTAATGGTGCGCTAATCCCACCAACATCTGTCTCCAATATATAAACAATAACAGCAAACAAATCTCGAACCATTAAATGACATAACGCAATATATAGCTCCAACAAAACCTTTAACATTTCCCATGATCCCCTGTTTCTAATTTAGCTTTGAAATTTAAAGTGTATGTTGAGCTTCCTAGCATCCTGGTCCTTGCTGTTGGGTAACGTTTGGTTGTACACCAGCTTATTTTTAGAACCGGGCATCTTGTCATGGTTGTGTAACTGATAGCATAGTTACAGTGCATCTTTGGCAAAGCCCACATATTATGATTGGAAAATTACCAAAATAATGGCGTCCACAGCTTTGACAAGGAGTCTGTTTTCAGTAAGATCTGGAGGTTTGAATGCTGATCAGAGATGGCAAAAGTACACACATCCTTAACTCAAGTAGAAGTACAGATACTTGTGTTTAAAAATACTCTGGTAAAAGTAGAAGTACTGACTAAACTTCTTTACTCAAGTAAAATTAAAGAGGCTTTGAAATGTACTTAAGTAAAAAGTACCCATAACTAGCAGCTGTTTTAAAGAGTACCTGACCTCCCTTTATATTAATAGAACAATAATGTCATTGTTAGCTAATGAATGTTTCCATGCTGAACAACGGCAACATGACAACGTTTTCATTGGTCCCTCTTCTTTAGAGAAGACCAGGAAATGATGGATACACGGATCGTGTTCAAATCAATAGGCACGCAATGACTCTAAAGAATAATGATCACGCATCAAACACACATTCAGACTAAAGGAACCAGCTGTTTGGAAAATGAGAGAAGTAGAAAGTACAGGTATTTGAGTTCAACATGTAAGAAGTAGAAAGTACAGGTATTTGTGTTCAACATGGAAGAAGTAGAAAGTACAGGTATTTGTGTTCAACATGGAAGAAGTAGAAAGTACAGGTATTTGGGTTCAACATGTGAGAAGTAGAAAGTACAGGTATTTGTGTTCAACATGGAAGAAGTAGAAAGTACAGGTATTTGTGTTCAACATGGAAGAAGTAGAAAGTACAGGTATTTGGGTTCAACATGTGAGAAGTAGAAAGTACAGGTATTTGTGTTCAACATGGAAGAAGTAGAAAGTACAGGTATTTGAGTTCAACATGTGAGAAGTAGAAAGTACAGGTATTTGTGTTCAACATGGAAGAAGTAGAAAGTACAGGTATTTGTGTTCAACATGTATGAAGTAGAAAGTACAGGTATTTGAGTTCAACATGTAAGAAGTAGAAAGTACAGGTATTTGTGTTCAACATGTAAGAAGTAGAAAGTACAGGTATTTGTGTTCAACATGTTAGAAGTAGAAAGTACAGGTATTTGTGTTCAACATGTATGAAGTAGAAAGTACAGGTATTTGTGTTCAACATGTAAGAAGTAGAAAGTACAGGTATTTGTGTTCAACATGTAACTAAGAAGTAGAAAGTACAGGTATTTGTGTTCAACATGTAAGAAGTAGAAAGTACAGGTATTTGTGTTCAACATGTAAGAAGTAGAAAGTACAGGTATTTGGGTTCAACATGTAAGAAGTAGAAAGTACAGGTATTTGAGTTCAACATGTAAGAAGTAGAAAGTACAGGTATTTGTGTTCAACATGTAACTAAGAAGTAGAAAGTACAGGTATTTGTGTTCAACATGTAAGAAGTAGAAAGTACAGGTATTTGTGTTCAACATGTAAGAAGTAGAAAGTACAGGTATTTGAGTTCAACATGTAAGAAGTAGAAAGTACAGGTATTTGTGTTCAACATGTAAGAAGTACAAGTAAAAAGTCGTCGTGGAGTAAAGTACTGATACCAGAAAAATGTTCTTAAGTACAGTAACGAAGTATTTGTACTCCACTACTTCCCACCTCTGATGCTGGTCAAGTAATAAGAATTTCGCAATAGCCCTAACACTATCAATTTATCATTTTTTCAAAGCTCCTTGTTTCAAATTGTCCTATAGGAAATATTTTTCTTGCAAAAAACTTTGATGATACTCTTTTTATACTTTTTAGGAAACCCTTATCCGATTTGCTGAAGCGCTGAGGTCCAACACACACGTCCGGGTCTTCAGTCTGGCAAACACTCACGCTGATGACCCTGCGGCTCTGGCCATTGCTAAGATGTTGAGGGAGAACTCGTCCATCACCAGTCTGAATATAGAGTCCAACTATGTGACTGGGAAGGGCGTGATGGCACTGGTTCAAGCTCTTCCTGGGAACAACACCCTGACCGAGCTTCGCTTCCACAATCAGAGACACATGTGTGGAGGACAGGTCTGTTCACCTTTACCTCCCATTTTGTCTCAATATAACAAGCAGGTTAGGGAGTAACAGATTACATGTAAAGGGATTCATTCCAATGTTATCAATAAAGATCAATATATTATAGGTAGGCCTGGAGGAAGGATCTGAAATGACAGGAAAATGATTATATGCACAACCAAAGACAACTATAAATGTGTCGAACTTGTGACACTTTTACTACATTCTTAATGCAATATGTGGACACCTGATTTGTTAAAGCAAAAATACGTGGTTTGCTTTAAATGCATGAACTATACCATAACATGTACATGCACTAAAACAGTTTTTGTCAGCTGTACTATTCCTAAATGTAAGAGTTTCTTATTTGTTCTAAGGTTGCATTGTTCTTACACAAAATACACTGAAGTAAAAAACATCTCACTCATATTTATTTCTCTTTAATTGATTTGCATTGATGTTGAGGTAACGGAAAGTAATCAGGTTACATTACTTTTATATTGTGCTACTCAGATTACGTTACTGAATACATTACCCTTACAGGTAACTATAGTTGTAATGGAATACATGTTTTAAAGGTCACCTATTATGCAAAATCCACTTCTTCATGTCTCTTCTACATCAACATGTGTCCCCTCTTCTTCATGTCTCTTCTACATCAACATGTGTCCCCTCTTCTTCATGTCTCTTCTACATCAACATGTGTCCCCTCTTCTTCATGTCTCTTCTACATCAACATGTGTCCCCTCTTCTTCCTGTCTCTTCTACATCAACATGTGTCCCCTCTTCTTCATGTCTCTTCTACATCAACATGTGTCCCCTCTTCTTCATGTCTCTTCTACATCAACATGTGTTTCCCTCTTCTTCATGTCTCTTCTTCATCAACATGTGTCCCCTCTTCTTCATGTCTCTTCTACATCAACATGTGTCCCCTCTTCTTCATGTCTCTTCTACATCAACATGTGTCCCCTCTTCTTCCTGTCTCTTCTACATCAACATGTGTCCCCTCTTCTTCATGTCTCTTCTACATCAACATGTGTCCCCTCTTCTCCATGTCTCTTCTACATCAACATGTGTCCCCTCTTCTTCATGTCTCCTCTACATCAACATGTGTCCCCTCTTCTTCATGTCTCTTCTACATCAACATGTGTCCCCCTCTTCTTCCTGTCTCTTCTACATCAACATGTGTCCCCTCTTCTTCATGTCTCCTCTACATCAACATGTGTCCCCTCTTCTTCATGTCTCTTCTACATCAACATGTGTCCCCTCTTCTTCATGTCTCTTCTACATCAACATGTGTCCCCTCTTCTTCATGTCTCTTCTTCATCAACATGTGTCCCCTCTTCTTCATGTCTCTTCTACATCAACATGTGTTCCCTCTTCTTTCATGTCTCTTCTTCATCAACATGTGTCCCCTCTTCTTCATGTCTCTTCTACATCAACATGTGTCCCCTCTTCTTCATGTCTCTTCTACATCAACATGTGTCCCCTCTTCTTCCTGTCTCTTCTACATCAACATGTGTCCCCTCTTCTTCATGTCTCTTCTACATCAACATGTGTCCCCTCTTCTCCATGTCTCTTCTACATCAACATGTGTCCCCTCTTCTTCATGTCTCCTCTACATCAACATGTGTCCCCTCTTCTTCATGTCTCTTCTACATCAACATGTGTCCCCTCTTCTTCCTGTCTCTTCTACATCAACATGTGTCCCCTCTTCTTCATGTCTCCTCTACATCAACATGTGTCCCCTCTTCTTCATGTCTCTTCTACATCAACATGTGTCCCCTCTTCTTCATGTCTCTTCTACATCAACATGTGTCCCCTCTTCTTCATGTCTCTTCTACATCAACATGTGTCCCCTCTTCTTCGTGTCTCTTCTACATCAACATGTGTCCCCTCTTCTTCATGTCTCTTCTACATCAACATGTGTCCCCTCTTCTTCATGTCTCTTCTACATCAACATGTGTCCCCTCTTCTTCATGTCTCTTCTACATCAACATGTGTCCCCTCTTCTTCATGTCTCTTCTACATCAACATGTGTCCCCTCTTCTTCGTGTCTCTTCTACATCAACATGTGTCCCCTCTTCTTCATGTCTCTTCTACATCAACATGTGTCCCCTCTTCTTCATGTCTCTTCTACATCAACATGTGTCCCCTCTGTGGAAAGAGACTCTGAAAGTTTCAGGAACAAAGATTCTCTCTCTTTTTGTCCTGATCCATTTCTATAAAAACCTGTCTGAAAATGAGCTGATCAGATTTTGGCCACTTTATGATGTCATAACGATGTTTTGTCTTGTGTAACCATTAGCCAATCACCAACCAAGGTACCCCCCCCCCCCCCCCCCCCCCTTATCACCTGAATCTCCTCCTAGAGCACCATTGAGTTCTTTGTAACCAAATCTCTCTCAGAGGGGCGTGGGGAGGGGCTCCTTATTTTCATCTAAAGTAACAGACAGAGAATCAGCACTTTGGAAACAGGGCTGAAACAGAGGGGATTATGGGTAATGCTGCAATGATCTGTTTGGTGTTTCAGCCAATCAGAGACATGTTTTGTATATATCTGAGACCTGTAATATATTGATGAAAAAGAGTATAATAGGGGACCTTTAAAGTAACGCTCCCAACCCTGATAACAACTCTTGCTTACTCAACTTTCGCCCCTCCAGGTAGAGATGGAGATGGTGAAGATACTGAGGGAAAACAACACCTTGATCAAGCTGGGATACCAGTTCAACCTCCCTGGTCCCAGGATGAGCATGACGGGGATCCTCACCAGGAACCAGGACCGCCAGAGGCAGAAACGTCTTCAGGAGCAGAGACTCCAGCAGCAGGGGGCGCCAGAGGGAGCCGGATACCCCAGAACCAACGCACTGGTATGTAGCTTTGTTTATTCCCATTTCGCCCCTTCCCGTTTCGCCCCTAAATTATTCCCATTTCGCACCCTACGATACGATATAACTTTATTTGTCAGATCAGGTCTGAAATTTGACTTGCGTCACAGCAGCTCCATGTCCAACATCAACAGACAAATATCCAGACACAATACATGAAACACAAACAACAAACATTTAACATAACAGCACAATCTGTGAGAGAAAAGCTGCTCAGAGCCTTCAGCGTGCATCTGATCTGGGATCAGCTCTGTGTTTACTGTGAGGATTGACTGATGCACAAAGGATGCTTCAGTCTGACTTTATTGAATGGTGGGACCCTGTATCTCCATTAGATGGTAGCAGTTCATATTCACTGTTCAGAACATGGTTTGGGTCGGAGATGATGTGGATGGACAGCCTCACTAGGTTGTTATGATAAGCTGAGTCATAGAGTCTCTGACAGGGTGGACCAACAATCTTTGAGCAGATTTTTAACAGGTGGAACCCTGTCCCATGCAGCCCCAACAACAGCCTCTGATTCGTCAACAGACTTCATGCAATGCTTCATGGGATGCATCATTAGATCTATAAACTCTAACCCTAACCATAACCCTACCCCTAAGACCCACGACCAAGCAAAACAAGTATCATTTCTTATGTGACATAATGTAAAAAAGGGGAGAAATGGGAAAGGGGCGAAGTGGCGAGATGAGAAAGGGGCGAAATGGAGAAGGGGCGAGATGGGAATAATTTAGGGGCGAATTGGGAGGGGCGAAACGGGAAGACACCATGTAGCTTTGCGATCACATTGTTGAAATAAGCCGGTTGTCGTGGCTTCCTTCCTTGTTTTTCTTTCGCCTTAAAGGAGACCTATCATGCTATATTTGAATAATATATTGTAGGGCCATACCTATATAAGGTATATTTATACGTTTTCTTTTTCAAAATACCAAACAGATCATGCATTTTAGCCATGCCTCATTTCGCTCTATTGCGCTGCAGCTGACCACGCCCCCCTACAAAGGAGGGGCCCGAGTTACGAGCGTCATGTTACCATGCTGTTACCATGCTGTTACCATGCTGTTACCTTGCCACGGCAACCTCTCATTCCCCTGATTGGTGGAGAGTTGGCCATATAGGCGGAGCTCCTCGTCACTGACGTCAGACTATTTTCAAATCTGGATCAGTCTGTATCAGATCCGTTCCAGCCCCGTTTTTAGAGATTTTTGTATGGAGGAAAATAGAGACGGTTGTGTTTTCTGACACTTGGTGAGTTCCCTGACAAACCGGGGACACATATTCATGTGTAAAAGACGTACAAAAGTGCATTTTGCATGATAGGTCCCCTTTTAATAAAGACACATTTTTAACTAGTTTTCTTTCCTTTATGTTACTTACAGTTCAAGAGTTGCTCGGCCTCCGATGGTTTGGATGATGTTGCGATGTGTTGCTCAAAATAAAATAACAAACTTTTACACATGCAACAAAGAAAAGAGGTCTTTACAATATTCAAAACAAATAGGCAAAACTTAAATAAAATAACACACAATTAGGTATTCTTTCTTGATAATGCTTATATAACTTAATAACTTAAAGGGTAATTGGACGGTTAAAAACTGTGCCTCGACAGCGTCTTTCTAGCAGGTTGCCCATCACTGTCACTTTTTAGAGGAGGCACCGTGGGAATTGTAGTCTTTTATAGTGTGTTGACTACAGACGTCACAATTAGGTGGCTTTTCTTATAAAAACTAAAATACTGGCTCTAACACCGGTAAAACTTACATTTTCGGTACGTTTCCATTGACAGTGACAGAGGGCCAACTTTACAATCCCCGAATGTCAACGAGCGCTCCGGTCCCAGCTGTGTGCATCACTTTTTAGTGTCCCCGTTTCCATCGTGTTTTGAGCTTCTTGCAGCGCTTCATTTATGCAAAATCTTCTAGTAAACACAGCGCATGTTTCGTCAAATTTGTGAATGTTCCCTAAACATTTTTGGGCTTTTGAAGCGTATTTGCACCTGTTGGCCACCGTACAATACGACCGCTTTCAGCACATTAGCCTTTTTTAGTTATAAATACATTTCTAATAATCCATGTTCCTCTCTCTGTCTCTAGAAAGGAACCTCATCACCTTACAGCTCACCCAGAGCCTCTCCTTGGTCCTCACCCAAACTCAACCGCAGCGACCTGGTTAAAAAACAAACTCCTCCTCCGCCTCCTCCACCACCTCCGCCTCCACCTCCTCCTCCACTGCCACAGGAGAAGAAGAAACCCACCAGGATGATTGCGGAGGTCATCAAGGCACACGAGGCGGGCGGCAAGAAGGTGAAGAAGACAAAGGGTAAGAAAGGCAAGAAAGGGAAGGAGGAGACGAGCAGCATCCTGAAGGAGCTGAAGAACGCCCTGAGGCCAGTGATGGTGGAGCGGAGGGGGGAGGAGGGCAGCCGGCCGTCCACACCAATGAGGTCCGCCCACGACCAGCTGATGGAGTCCATCCGAAACAGAACCGGCGGCAGCCTGAAGCGGGTGAGTGGAGGACGTTTAAAGGTCACCTATTATGCAAAATCCACTTCTTCATGTCTCTTCTACATCAACATGTGTCCCCTCTTCTTCATGTCTCTTCTACATCAACATGTGTCCCCTCTTCTTCATGTCTCTTCTTCATCAACATGTGTCCCCTCTTCTTCATGTCTCTTCTACATCAACATGTGTCCCCTCTTCTTCATGTCTCTTCTACATCAACATGTGTCCCCTCTTCTTCATGTCTCTTCTACATCAACATGTGTCCCCTCTTCTTCATGTCTCTTCTACATCAGCATGTGTCCCCTCTTCTTCACGTCTCTTCTACATCAACATGTGTCCCCTCTTCTCCATGTCTCTTCTACATCAACATGTGTCCCCTCTTCTTCATGTCTCTTCTACATCAACATGTGTCCCCTCTTCTCCATGTCTCTTCTACATCAACATGTGTCCCCTCTTCTTCATGTCTCTTCTTCATCAACATGTGTCCCCTCTTCTCCATGTCTCTTCTACATCAACATGTGTCCCCCTCTTCTTCATGTCTCTTCTACATCAACATGTGTCCCCTCTTCTTCATGTCTCTTCTACATCAACATGTGTCCCCTCTTCTTCATGTCTCTTCTACATCAACATGTGTCCCCTCTTCTTCATGTCTCTTCTACATCAACATGTGTCCCCTCTTCTTCATGTCTCTTCTTCATCAACATGTGTCCCCTCTTCTTCATGTCTCTTCTATCTCAACATGTGTCCCCTCTTCTTCATGTCTCTTCTACATCAACATGTGTCCCCTCTGTGGAAAGAGACTCTGAAAGTTTCAGGAACAAAGATTCTCTCTCTTTTTGATCCATTTCTATAAAAACCTGTCTGAAAATGAGCTGATCAGATTTTGGCCACTTTATGATGTCATAACGATGTTTTGTCTTGTGTAACCATTAGCCAATCACCAACCAAGGTAACCCCCCCCCCCTTATCACCTGAATCTCCTCTAGAGCACCATTGAGTTCTTTTTAACCAAACCTCTCTCAGAGAGGCGTGGGGAGGGGCTCCTTATTTTCATCTAAAGTAACAGACAGAGAATCAGCACTTTGGAAACGGGGCTGAAACAGAGGGGATTATGGGTAATGCTGCAATGATCTGTTTGGTGTTTCGAGCCAATCAGAGACATGTTTTGTATATATCTGAGACCTATAATATATTGATGAAAAACAGTATAAATAGGGGACCTTTAAATCATACTTGTCATCGGTGGTAGTGTCCCCTTACTACTGTGTCGGATTGAAGAAGAATCAGAAACAGGTTTATTGCCAAGTATAGGTTTACACAAACGAGGGATTTGCCTTGGTGTATATGGTGCAGAGGGCGCTGCTTTAGCCATTTGTTGTTGTTGCCAGTTTATGACCGGGCATCTTTCGGTCAGAGATGGTTTATTGTTACGACCGGGCATCTTTCGGTCAAAGATAGTTTATTGTTATGAGGACATATGGAACGCTTCCTTCTCGGGGCTTGATGAACCCAAGGTGTGAAATCTTCGAGGCCATAAGCTTCTACTGCAAGTCATTCAGTGTCCCCAGGTGTTTAGACTATCTAGTGAAGAATGTTGATTACCCTCATCCAAACTGGTTAAAACCTCTACGAGAGGACGGTTTCCTCCGAATTGATTATGGCATCTCATCCGTGTGGTCAGATGCCATATGACATGTCTTGTGAATTCTCCGGCCGAAGCTCCAAATAAACCATCAGTGTTTGCCATCAAAGCTCAGCTCTCCATCGTGTCTCTCTTTGAGTCCTGACACCAAGGGGTTTCTCAATCTCGAGTACGCTTGCTTGGTAGCACATGTCTTCTGAGCGTCTTGCTTCAGAAGCGAGGCGAGAATACTTCCGTAAAACTCCAAAATACTTCCTGGCATTCTGAAAACGGAGAGTGGAACAGGCGAGCAGGTGTGCTTCATATGAGAGGCCCCGCCTTACATTTTCCACCACAGATTTGGGAAATTGGTCCGTGCGCAAAGCATTGTGGGGATTTTAAAACCGCGGAGTCTACACATGTGCAGCCTTGAAATTTCTCCAAACGAAGTACGCCGGGCTCGGTAGAATTCCAAGTATGCTGGACATTGGAACAGTACCTCGGCGGCACTCGATGACGTAGTATGTTTGAAATAGTGGCTCTGGAGCAGCCTTCCTTGAGATTGAGAAATACCCCAATTGCTAACAAGATATTGTTCGTATAGTGTGCGTTAATGTAATGCATAGTGTCTACGAGCAGGTGATGCAAAACTGCATTATCTCTACAGGCAAACTGAAGTAAAGAGAAATGTAAATGAGAATTACACAGAGTCATGTTATGTGCTGGCTCTCGAAAATATAAATACAAAATATAGCCAATAATAATGTGGGGCAAGCCTTATAGAAAATAATGCATCTGAACTCTGTTACCTTGGTGAAGAGAGTGAAGTATTACCCTGGCTGAAGCTTTAGTAAAGCTTGTTATATTGTTGGAGTGGAAAATCAGCTCTGCCCTCAGATGCCGGGGTCTCCTGGCTGTGAAATTCCTGCCACTTAGTAAAAGTATTTATAGAAACCGTTCAGTGAAACGTTGATAAAGACAGATATGACACTTTACCACAGCATGCACACACACCAACAACACACATCCAACCCACACACACTTCATCTGTTTACCCCACTGAGGATTCCAGGAATTATAATATTAAAAAGATTATGTTTAAAACAAAGTGGTTCCTCAAAAATTCACTTTAGGTAAACAATAATAACAGCTTGAATGTCAATCAGCGGGTTACTGTACGTTAGCATAGCATAAAGACTTCCAAATACTTCCAAATGTGACAACAAATGTTCACAAACTTTCTCTGAAAAATGTACGGAAGACAATTAGGGCCACATGTATATATATATTTTTTATAAATTCTTATTCTTCTTAATGTCAGAATTCTTTTTTGTCAGAATTAAAGAAAAGAATGTACCTTTGGTCAGATCTAAAAATACAAAATGTGGCCCTAATCCTATTCCCTAAAAATGACTTGCAAGCTATTTATTTATCAACAATTATGAGAAACTTTAACAAAATAATTAATTTAAAATGTCTCATTATTTTGAGATTAACATAAATAACAAGATATTTTTCGATCCCATTGGCAAAAATGGACTCCCATACACTAACATCTATAGACTTTTTGTTAACATGCTTAAAGATCTGTTAAAATGAAGATTTCACAGCTGAGGAAAGTTGGAGTCTGGCCAGATTATACCACGGAGAAACCAGCCTAAACCCCATGAAAAGTGGACAATAAAACCCATATTCTATAACACATAGGTTTGAGCAAGCTCTCTGATTGGTCAATAGGCGTGTTTGATTCCACGATCAAACAACGATCAAATAGAACGTGCCTAATCACAAAGTATCCAGTGGCCTACACGCGCCACTAGCCTACCGAAACTACTTCCATGAGCCTACATCGTGTGGTTTCCATAGCGACGTTTAGCGACACACAGCCGTTACACTGTTATACATTGTCTCTCGTTGGAAAGCTCTTCCTATAACGTAGTCCTACCCGTGAACACCACAGCACCACCTGCAAAAAAGTCTGGCATGGAGTTCATGGAGAGCTGTTTCAAGAATTGCACTTTTAATGGCAGCATGAACATCCACCTTCATTCTGAACCCAAAATGTTTCAGCACCTGATTTGATTTGTTCCGCTAATCCCACACAGTGATTACTCAGATATTTAAATAGCCTAATTCAAGAATTGTTTTCAATAAATTGTTTTCAATAAATTGGTTAATAATATATTATTTACTATAATTATATCAATAACTGTAAGCGGGGTAGCAGGAGTGTTTGATCGGCTATCGTTACCATGGGAACTACTGTCTAGGAACTACTTTCTGATGGAGATTAACTCAAGCAGAAAGCGTAGGTTTGGGAGCAAATTAGCACATTATGAAATTATTTTACGATATTGTTGATTACAATGATAGTTTGTGTAATAGAATCGCAATCATACACTTGAGGCCGTTCTTGAACGTCATTATTGGTACGACAGTACTGCGCAGCGCCGAGGTCCGTCGTCGTCCGTACACTCGTGTATGATTGCTTAAATCATCTATGATTGATTAATTGATTGATTTTATTTCCTGTATGAAACTGAGCATTGATATTTTCCAGGTGGAAATCCAACATCACCTACGATAAAACAAGCAGACGTACAGAGGGCTGTTGGATGCCATGCCATGATGACCCTGGAGGGATAGAAACACAAAATGGGATGCTAAGTAGGCAACAACTGAATTCTTACTCATGAAAAAATATATATTTACTGGTAATTTGCACTGCAGTTATAACTTTACATGTTTGTTTTTTTTACTTATTTACGCATAGAAATGAAATAATGTACCTGTTTATTAATAAGCTTTCAAATTCAATGTTTTCTTGTAAAATTGTAAATATGTTGTTGGTTGAATTATGTATTCATTTCTTAATATAGCCATTTGGTGTTTACATTACTTCTTGTCAGTGTCTGTTCTGTCTTCTTCTTTGGTTTCTGGATGAGGTCCATTTCAAAGAAAAGGGTCACGCTGTTATGGAGCAGAGTTTTTTTTCTTCATTATCAGTGAGTCAGCTTACTGGTCAAGCAGCACTCATGCATATTCCCCCTGAGACACACTCACAATACACCCACTCCTGTCAGAGCGCGTAAGAGCACAGCTTTTGCTGTGTTTGAACAACTCACAAAGCATGACGAGTGAAGGGAGAGAATAGGGACTCACAGCTATTAACACTGACAGAGATGAGACACAAATCACAAGATCACATTTGGAGCAGCTACTGGGTGACGCTACACTACATAATGAATAAAAACCAAGACTGTGACACTATAGAAATATCTGTCTTAGGGCTAAATATACTTAAAGTCTGTCACCAGCACAGAAACCGAAGCATTGCTGTGGACGGAGGCATCGACAATGTTACATATTAGCCACCTATCCAAAAGGCTCACCTAAAAAAAATCAGTTTATGTTTTATTAAAAAAAAAGTCCTCTGACATCAGACAGTGTTTTCTGAAGGGAAGGGAAGTCGCTTTATTCAACGTCACCAGACTCCTTTCACAAAAACAGAAATTGTACCTGGTTTGTTAGTTAGGATTCACTTAAGTCACACAATTACACTAACTATCTTGTTGAGGCAATGGTATATCAGCAACTGTTGTGTTCTGCAAAGTAAATATACTGTTTTTGAGAATAGGGCCTGCCTGCTATATAGAGACCGGTTATAGTTTACCATCAGGAAAAGGTTGTCCTAAAGCAAGTGGTGAAAATATTATTAAAATAGTGCTGACTTTCTCTAAGGTAGCGATAATATGTTTAGTTTCTGATGCTCCAAACTGATGTCTATAGGTCGTACACTAGCTATTAATAAGTACCTCATATTTCAACAAATCTGAACCAAGAAGAAAGACATTTTAACCAAAACACAGGTTGAAATGTTAAGATGAAAGCAGTCAGTACAACTATTCTCAATGTATTCTGGATTGGTGGGATTAAATTAGAGATGTATTGATTGAATATGGGTTAGGGTTTATGTGTCAGGTTTTTAAGGAGAGACCAGGGGGTGAGAGATGAGTCTGAAGGGTGTGAGCTATTAGCATCCTAATCCTGGTCGTGCTTTTGTTAATGTTTCTTTTAAGAGATCCTTTATCCACAGTGCAGCTGTTTAAAGACAACACGGTCAGGGGATCAAGGGTGGCAACAAGGAGGAAAATACAAATGACATAATGGTTAACCCTTTACCAAAAGAAACCAGACCTCTTAGGAGAAACTTTACACTTACATAATCATTGGATGGTTTTAAAAGTGGGCAATTAGTAATGACAACATAGAGCTTTTGCTGGCTCACATGTTGATGCTTTAAGGTTTGATGTTAAATACCAATGGTGCAGTATACCCTCTACATACTGAAAAGCAGTTCTCAATGGCATTCCCACATCAGTTCAGTATGCACAATGCATTCCTCAGACTAAGTGTCCTAAGAATACAACTTCACTTACTCAAGCACAGCACTTTGTCATATCTGTCAAAATGTCAATAGAGATCCTTCCACAAAATGCATGCATAAAATGGAGACTTCCTGCTTGTTAAATGGGGTCTCAGCACTCAGGGTGGTCAATTCTCCTCATTTACAATTCATGACGGAGGGTTTTCTGCACTGTAGGGAAATCAAGTCATCATAACTGTTAAGTGTACACGAGTTTACGTCATATGTTTTCAACACTGCTCTTGTTTAACATCTAGCTTTAAAGGCAATTTCACTAAGAGTTGCCTTAAGATTCCTACTCAGCTAAAATCAGATTATTTAATGTCTTGCTGCATCGTAACAGCAATAATAATTGTGTAAATTGTATCAGACATTATGAGGCACTTTCTCCCAAAAAAAAGAGTCCCAAGGTGATGTAAGAGACATAAAAGCAGTATATAATACCCGTCAACAGCCACAAAGTGAACAATGAGTGGTAAAATGGAAAGAATCTAAAGGCAAATAGTGCCACATCACTTCTATAAATGCTTGTGTGTATTGTATTGTGTGTGTTGTTCAGGGGGAGGGGGGTCTCTATGGAAGCAAGCCTTGCTGACACACTCGTGGAAAGTGTAATACCGCTCTAATCCCCTCATAAACTCTGCAGCACACAGGACTAAAGCTGATGAGGACCATCACCTAAAAATAAATGGTACCGGCGTATAATTGTCGTGGTCGTTATTGTGACAGTGACAGTTAATTAAGGTCAATTTTTTCAATGACTTTTTATAATATTGTTGGAAGTGCAACTTTTACACTTAAACAAATGTACCTCTTCTTTTGAGAAATTGGATATACAGTTTGAACTGTTAAATTGTTATGATGGTTTTTAAGGGTCACTAAGGGAGTTAAAATGAAGGAAGGAAATAAAACGAAGTCTTACATTCCCAGAAAAACATCCCTGAAATGAAAGCCACAAACTACCAGGAAAACAACAGGTGATAAAACATGTTTTTTCCTCATCATAATTCCTATTGCATAAAACACACAGCATGGCGTTGATCTAACCTTGGAAAGTGGAGCTATTTTGTGATTTTCATTAGTAATATTACCCCTCTCAATATTTTTTTATTTTTTATTTTATCCTACATCCATTGGCCCTGATAAACAGTCATACACACAGCTTTACTTCTACCTGGCTCAGTTGTTGATGTAGAAGTAAAGAGTGTGATAATCCTCTGCTCAGCTGTTCCCAGATCTGTCCAATGCCTGTCTACTGCAGGTGATGATCCTGTATCCATCACACACACCCCCCCCCCCCCCCCCCCATGCGTATACTCAAATTGTAACCTTGACAGACATCATTGCCCTCTTTAACACTGGAAATTATGAATCCTAAAAACACGTTTTGTTAAGGCACATCTATATCAGAGGCTTTGAAGGTAGAGGAAGCCAAAATGCAAGTGTATGTAAATACCAACCTTTTATTGGAGTGAACAAAATAAGAATTCATTATTTGTCACGCCTCACTGATAAGGCTTGGAGTCCATAACATCTTTCAAGTTGTATTTTGTTGGACGAACGCACTTATTGTAAGTCGCTTTGGATAAAAGCGTCAGCTAAATGCAATGTAATGTAATGTAATGTAATCTTATTAACCGCTATAGAAGCTAACATTAGCAACAACATGGCTAGGTTTCCCCCTAAACATATCTTAACAAAGGTAATTTCTTACATCAAACAAGTGGAAATGTGTCTCTAAAAGACAAATAATTTAAACAGTGAAAAAGAAAACACATTTTGACCGGCCACTGTGTGTTTGTTGGAGCTTTGTTACACCGTGGTAAAGACGTTTTGTATTAAATCTGCAAAAACCAAAATTTAAAATATGATGGCAATATTAGCATGCAACTTGTTAGCATGTGTAAAAAAGGCTAACATGGCAGACTGGAAGGCCAAGATTTATATTTACGACTTAAAAGTAAGATGGGGTTAGCAGTTAAGAGCGATTTAACGCAAAGATTAAATTGAGGAATTAAAACGGTTTGAATTATTTAGGAATAATTGTGTAGCAATACACTCTTGCTGCTAAAGCCTGGTCTGGTGTGACCAGGTAGCATACAGGCTAATGCTAGCTAACTTTAGCTAGATATTGTTCGATTAAATACATCGTTTTTCTCCATTTGTGCTACCATTGTAGTAGGTTTTGATGTAATTGTTACATGGGCCATTCCAGAATTGCAGGACAATTTAGACACCAACATTTTTGAAAAATGAACCTTTTATTTTATAATTTTTTTTAATGTATTTAGGAAAAACAGATAATAAACCATCAGAAAAGTGATTTTCCCAGCGAAGGCATCACATGTATATTTTCCAATGAAGAATTACCCTGTTACTCTAATTATAGTAACAGGGTTGGAAATCAATGCTAATTTGAGCTTTAACCTCAGGAATTATTGCTAGATGTAATGCTACTTTCAAGGCAAGGACAAACTTGGATATTTAATGAAAGAAAGATAACTTTGAAAATAATATGCTTCATTCTGATAATATCAGTAACAGGGTTGAGTGGGTCAGAGTGCCACACTCTTTTAAGACTGAAAAGATTGTAAAAATATGAAAGATAAAAGAGAGGACTTAGTTGTGGTCTACCCATGGCCCTAGCACATGGCTTGCTGATGTCCTTTCCACTGTGTCATTTGACTTACAGTTTTTTCACTTCCTCTGCCAATCTAAAAAGGTTTGGGTAACAGGGTTGAACGCATGTTGAGGGACACACCTTCTGTGCAAAATTACTGTTATTTAAAATATGTTTATGATTTAACAAATACATTTTACCATTACAAGAGACATATATCAAGAGAATAATACCAAAAAAAGTAAATAAAATCCCTATTTTAAATGTTATATTTATATTTGACATGCAAGTTGGTCACCAAGAAGTGGGGACAAGAGAACAATGCCATTTTAGGGGATGTTCGAGAGCTATTTGATCATTTAAATAATATTTTGAAACCACTTTTTCTACAACTTTATATACATTTTGTCTAACAATACAATTTGTGTTAAACAAGTATGTTTAACACAAGTGCATGTTTTAGCTTTTAGGGCATGGATTATTAACATTTTTATATGGGGGACATGAAATGTCCTCCAATTCTGGAATGACCCACATGTGTTTTAAGCAGCTGCTCTTGCCTCTTAAGCAAGTTACAGTTTAGCTTAGCAAGCAATGCTAACTGCAGAGTGTCCGCATCATAGGCCATAAAACCATACCTTCTGCTGAAATAAAATGATAGAGGGAAGATTACTAACTTCGTTCATGTCATGCCACTATGATTGTCTTATTAAAAAAAGAAGCAGCTAGTAATTATGTAAATAGGATTTATTAAAGATGAAATACACGTCAGTATCTATTTGGTATTTTCAGGGAATAATTGCGCACTTAGTTATTTTTAATAAGCCGTTTCTACCTCATGA